GAATTCATTCATGCCCCTCGCGACAAACGAGATATTTGATTCAAGGAACTGCTCTAAGCGTGTATTTTTCATGCAATGTTTGATACCGCACGGCGAATGAGAGAAAAAAAACTCTGCATTTCCCGGAAACTTAAATGCACATGGCAGGTAGCATCAGAAAGCCGCGTGTGTTATTCCGGTCACAAAATGCGGTAAAGATCCTACACAAGGTTAAAGTTTGGTTGTGGTGCTAACATGTTTACACTCGGTGCAATAGTTTACTTAGTTCGATACAAACAAACTGAATAAACAAAGAGCACTGGTCGCTCACTTACCAAATCTGTAGAGACAGGACAATCACCAGCAACTAGAGCCGCATCTTTATTAAGAGGAGACTACAAGCGAATCCGGATCTCAGCGTTTGCAGATGAGAACAGCTCTCAGGTAAACAATAATCCTCCTTGGACACGTAAGTTATTGTTGTCGAGCGTCGCGTACACTGTTAATCCACACGTGACTCCAGCTGAGCTCTCACAGAGAGAAAATGAAAACAAAACTTAACTGCAGCAAACTATAAAAGCAACACTTCACGCTTGTTTTCCCAACACAACGTGGCGTCTCTGTCGTGTAAACACGGTGACAGTAATGAATATTAATGAAGTTGCACAATAGAGCACGCTGATTGGTTTGAACCAAGCCTTACTCATGCATTAATGCAACACACTGTAAGATGTAATAAGACACACTCTGGCACAGACGTCCAGTCTGCACGCTGGAATACACGCTATTATGTCATGACCGTAACGCAGCTTAAAAAATTTGTTTCAAACCGGAAGTACGAATTTGCTTAAAATAACGCAAAAACAACCAATTTACACTTTTTAGTGAAATATAGATGTCCTAATAGTGTTTTTAGCAGTGTGGGACACATATACGACTGTCAACAGCTCAAAAAATGTGTTTTGGTGTTTCGTGACCCTTTAAGGCTGCAAGATATTGGAAAAATCAGAAAATTAAATTATGTGTAATAACAGTGGACTGGCACAATGGGAAAGTGCTGAACTACTGAAATGTCTTTAATACTTTCTGTAAAAGGCTTTTTTGTTGATGGCAGCTTAAAGACGCCTCTCATATGGATGAATGAAGTCACATGCATTGCTATGAGAGCATTTGAGAGTAGGGCTGGGTATCGTTCTAAAATTTTCGAAACCGATACCGATAACCTGAATTCGATACTGGTTCCGAACGATTCTTTTATTTTAAGAAATATATTTTAACGAGATTACATAACTCATAATCTCTGAGAAACTTTGGTTTTAATTTTTGATGTGTGTGTGTGTGTAGTTGAAGATGTGTGCGCACTGGTGTTAGAGAGAATAAGGTGTTCTAAGTGTAGCCCGCAGTGCGTGTATTAATAGCGACAAAAAGCAAAAGCCACAGCCATGTCACCCTGCAGCCCAAGACCGGTTACTTACTGAAGCTAAGCAGGGCTGAGCCTGGTCAGTACCTGGATGGGAGTCCACTAGAGAACACTAGGTTGCTGTTGGAAGTGGTGTTAGTGAGGCCAGCAGGGGGAGCTCAACCTGTGGTCTGCGTGAGTCCTAATGCCCCAGTAAAAGTGAAGGGGACACTACACTGTCAGTGGGCGCCGTCTTTCGGATGAGATGTTAAACCGAGGTCCTGACTTTCTGTGGTCATTAAAAATCCCATGGCACTTCTCGTGAAAGAGCAGGGGTGTAACCCCGGTGTCCTGGCCAAAGTCCCTCTATCAGCCCTTATGATCATGGCCTCCCAATCATCCCCTTCCACTGAATTGGCTCTATCACTGTCTCTCCACTCCACCAATAGCTGGTGTGTGGTGAGCGCACTGGTGCCGTTGACCTGTGGCTGCCGTCGCATCATCCAAGTGGATGCTGCAGTCTGGTGGTGGTGTGGAGAGACCCCCCTCATGATTGTGAAGTGCTTTGGGTGTACGGCCATACACAATAAATGCGCTATATAAATACACATTACATTACAAAACGAAGTTCGCCTAACTTCAAGGTGATTTTGAGGCGGAGGAGGTGGGAAAGGGCCGTCAGCTTGTGCTTATGTCTGTTTACCTTTCGGAGCCCCAGCCATCGCACAGTTACCCTCATCTGTCACGGAGGACGACGCTCGTGGTGGGCACGTTGTTATGATGACTGCGCCAGCGTGATCTTCTTGCAGTCAAACAATGCAAAAATGCTTTAAAGCAGGGGTCATCAATCTCGGTCCTGGAGGGCCGGTGTCCCTGCAGGGTTTAGCTCCAACTTGCCTTAAAACACCTGCCTGGGTGTTTCAAGTATACCTAGTGAGACCTTGATTAGCTTCAGGTGTGTTTGATTAGGGTGAGAGCTAAAATTTGCAGGACACCGCCCCTCCAGGAACAAGTTTGGTGACCCCTGCTTTAAAGTGTAGTGTACGCATTACAGCCTCACATTTGACAAGCTCTGAGCGAGTGGGCGTAACCGCCGTAAACTATTGATTTTCAAGACAGCCTCGCTGCAGCCAATTACTAGCATTTGATCCGGGCACGTTAAGGATGCCGCAGGTTTTCTAGCTCACTGACGTTGACAAGATCATACCCTTGGGTATCGAAATTTGGTACCGAACGAAAATTATTTTTTTCAGTACTCGATAGTATTGAGACGATTCGGTCGGTGCTTAAAAAGTATCGAACTCGATACTCAGCCTTATTTGAGAGTTTTCTTGGCTGTATTCTTGATTAGAGCTGTAATCAGGCCATAAAAATTAGGCCCAAGAGGACCCGAGCCCGACAGGTACATTTTGATTGACAGCTTTATAAAGCCAGAACCCGTTTACAGCCCGACATTACTCTAATGTGCACATGCACACAGCTCTTTTGCCTTTTTTCAAGAATGAGTCATTTATATGTGTTAACATAATTTTTTCGTAACAACTGTTGGCCACTTGGAAGTTGGAACAAAGAAATAAAATAAGTCCTCTCCTCTGTAACATCGTAACATCTCAGCACTCTAAATAGGCCTAGGTACATACACCCAGTCTTTAAATTAGCCAACACACCAATGAAACCAAGTCTTTCTTAACCAATTAAATTAAAATAAATTCTAAATTATGACAGGTATTTGGCAATAACGAAATTAAAATAAAGGCTCTGCGGGATTTGTTTCGCCACTTCTCTTCACAATCTGGCCTTAAGGCGACGGTGAAGCCTAATGCCAACATAAGCCTGTATACTCTGTCTACATTATGCATTTATGGTTTAAATCATATTTATTTATAATTTAAAAACCCTTTACTCACCAAGATTAGGCTTAACAATTGGATTACTTTCTCACGCTAATAGAAATGCATTACATGACTATTTATTTACTGCATAAGCCAAGCCCGACCCCGTCTAAAGTTATAAAAATTAAACCCGAATCCGTTAGGTCCCGCCGGGTCCCATGGGGTTGGGCAAAGATCTTCAGCTCTATTCTGGATCACTGTCTTGCTGAAATGTCCACCCTGGTTTCATCTTCATCCTACTGCTAATGTAGATGTTGGACTGAAACAGCTGATATTCATTTACACTGAGGAAGGGCAGAGGAAGAGCTACCGAGAGATTTCAGCTGCTGTCTGGGCTTTCACTGCCTTTCTACAGCTCCCTTTCTTCATGTGTTTAATACTTTTTCTTTGCATCATTTAATTTTATTACGCATAACTTAATTTGTAAAGTACTTCATTTTGTTTTATTTGTATATATAGATTTCTTTGGCGTTACCAACATCCAGTGTAAAATTTCAAGCCAACGGCACCTTTAGAAATATGTTTTCTGAGAAAAATGGTGACATGTTCAATACTTATTTTCACCTCTGTAACTCATAATTTTAGATTGACTCTCTATGCACACTTAGGGCTCAACCTGTGCAGTGCACATGCCCTTTTAAGTCATGGATAGAAAGTGCCCCCCCTGCTCCACTAGCCAACCCCTACAACCCCCCCATTAAATTATTGGTGGGGACATTTCCATAGTTGATGGATATTGGTGGGGACATGTCACCTCCGTCCATGCTAAATCTACACCCATGTGATGTTTGTGAATATGAAAGTTCTGGAAAGTTTCACAGTTGGAGTTTTTGTCTTCTGAGAGAAGTAAGCGCCATGACGTGTTTCATCAGTCGACTCAACATGTTTTATAGTCGGGGATTCCTCTTGACCTGTGTGTTTCTGTGAAGTGTTTGAGCAGGATTAAACTCTTTCAGGATAAAAGACCAAACACTGACTTTGTTCTAAGGCTGATGAGGATTCTAGAGTCGCTCAGTCTATATTTAGCCATTCAGACCTGCAGACATAACTAATGTCTCTCTCTGTCTCTGTCTCCCTCTGTGTGTGTGTCTGTGTGTGTGTGTCTGGGTTGTGTGTTTTTTCTGTGTTTATGTCTGATGTGTGTGTGTGTGTGTGTGTTGTCGTCACTCTGTTTGCTGTTTGTTTGTGTCTGTCTGTTGCCTCTGTGTGTTTGTTTGTGCGTGGGTGGATGTCTGTTGCTTGTGTGTTCATGTTCATGTCTGTGCTGTGTGTGTGTGTGTGTGTGTGTGTGTGTGTGTGCAGGTTAGAGCAGTTGGGTTTTAACGCTCTCCTCCAGCTGATGATTGGCGTTCCTCTGGAAATGGTGCATGGGATCCTGAGGATCAGCCTGCTGTACATGGCAGGAGTCATCGCTGGTGAGTTTTATTTCTGTGCGTGTGCGCGTGTCCACATGCGTCTTGCTGTCCTTGCACTGTGACAAGTTCACCAGGAGAATGTGCTCATATTTATGATGGACATGTCACCAGCGGGCAATGACCTAATCAATAATCTCTGAATTATTCACACACACACACACACACACACACACACACACACACACACCAAAGCTGCAAATATACCACCTCTGGAGCCTGTGTGTCATGTAATAGAATATATTTACATTTTAATGCTAGTTATCTTGCTCTCTTTATTATGAAGCCAAGATATATACGTAATATATATATATATATATATATATATATATATATATATATATATATATATACACGTGTATTACCTTACATCGGGGTATTACCAGGGTTTCACTTTAACCCTAATTCAACACAAACAAACCAGCCAATCTAATTATCTTTTGGATGAGTGTGTTTGATTAAGGGATGATAATTAAAAATGCTTCATACGTTTTGATAATTTTATTTATTATATACTATATGTGTTTATATTATATGCACTCACCGGCCACTTTATTAGGTACACCAACATAAACTTAATTAGCCAATCACATGTCAGCCATTCAATGCTTTTAGGCACGTAAACATGGTCAAGATGATCTGCTGGATCCATCCTGCCTTGTATTAACGGTTCAGGCTGGTGGTGTAATGGTGTGGGGGATATTTTCTTGTGTCAACACCACAGCCTACCTGAGTATTGTTGCTGATCATGTCCATTCCTTTATGACCACAGTGTGTCCATCTTCTAATGGCTACTTCCAGCAGGATAATGCACCATGTCATAAAGTGTGAATCATCTCAGACTGGTTTCTTGATCATGACAATGAGTTCACTGTACTTAAATGGCCTTCACAGTCACCAGAGCTCAATCCAATAGAGCACATTTGGGATGTGGAGGAACAGATTCACATCATGGATGTGCAGCCGACAAATCTGCAGCAACTGCGTGATGCTGTCATGTCAGTATGGAGTAAGTCTCTGAAGAATATTTCCAGTACCTTGTTGAGTCTACGCCATGAAGGATTAAGGCAGTTCTGAAGGCTAAAGTGGGTCCAACCCAGTATGAGTAAGCTGTACCTAATAAAGTGGCCGGCGAGTGTATGTATGAGATATGCATTTATATTATTACTAATCAATTTATATAAATTTGATAACACATGGCAGCATGGTGGCTCTGTGCTTAGCATTGTCGCCTCACAGCTAGAAGGTCGTTGGTTCAAGTTCCAGTATGGGTGTTTCTTAGTACTGGGTTGAGGCTGGAAGGGCACCCGCTGCGTAAAACATATGCTGGAATAGTTGGCGGTACATTCCGCTGTGATGACCCCTGATTAATAAGGGACTAAGCCGAAGGAATGAATGAAAGAAACTTAATAATTTCTGCAATATTTAATAAATCAGATCATTAAGTGTGTGTGTTTGTGTTTGAGTGAGATATAGGAACATATAGGCATTCAGTTTGTTTCTGTAAAACCAATGTTCTGCTAAATTCAGTCTAATCAAGCTCTCTCTCTCTCTCTCATCTGTAATTATTATTATTAAGTAATCCTGAAGACCTTGATTAGCTGCTTCACATCTGCTTAATTAGAGTTCCTCTAAACCCCTGCTGGACACGGCCTTTCAGTCCAGAAACAGAATAAAAACACTGTTATATAAATCTGAACTGTCGCATATGGTTGCCAAGGGGTCATTGAATTTCTGTAATATCATGCAATTTTTTCATGTTTTTGTCCAAGTCGTGAAAAATCAGGGATTTTAGCTTTTTTTTTTACCTTGATTTTAGCATTTTGAATTTTAGTTGCCATTTATAATTTTTTTTAGCTATATTTTATTTTTTTCATCAACTGTCAATCACTTAAATTCACCATGACATCTAAATTTACTCATCTAATTTTTATATGTACAGTTAAAGCCAGAATTATTAGTCCTCCTAAATTATTAGCCATGTAGCCATGGCCACCCCTGTATAAACTCTGGCCACCCCTGTTTATCACCCCCGTGTTAAACAGTATTTGGGAAATATTTGAGGTAGAAATAAAAATTCAGGGGAGGGTGAATCATTGTAACTTCAGCTGTATAAATGAGCCACGTAAAATGAGGACTAGACAGAGAAGGTGTAAGACGTGTGAGAAGAAAGAGTATGGCGAAAATGAAACATAAAGAAGAGCAGAATGATGGAGTGTGAATGCTGAGCACAGCAGAGCCGGTGTGGAGATGCAGCTTATAGACGATCCGTCACATACACGCACACACACACACACACACACACTCCACATGCCAATATTCAATTATCTCTGCCGCTCCTGCTGTATTTTGCATGCATGTTCACTTTCCAGAGAACAGAATTAGCTTTACTGAATGTGGTTTTTGCGCCGGTGTGGCTTTTAATATCTATTTGGGATTGGACACTTTTGTAAATGTGCTAGTAAGCAGACGCTGAGCAATCACCTGGAACATCCGAGCAGATAATATATGTGACCCTGCCTGGAGTAAAACACCAGTGTTAAAATACACATGAAATCAAAACTAACCATATTGATCTTGTTAGCTCACAGTGCTAGTTTTGTGCTGAACGATTCATCTGTTCATGTCATTAAGATAAAAATTAATTGTTTGCTCTTGAAATCTCTTTTTAACATTGTCTTTATTGATTTTAGTAGCTTTTAACATGTACAACATAAATCAAATTCAAACATACAAAATAATAATAAAAATGTTATAATAATAATAATAAATAAAACAATAAAAAATACATAAAAAATAGATAAAATACATAATAATAAAATAGAAAAAACATAAATAAATAAAAATACATAAAAATACATTATAATAAAATAGAAAAACATAAACAAATAAAAAATACATAAAATAAATAATAATAAAAATAGAAAAAACATAAATAAATAAAAATACATAAAAATACATAATAATAAAATAGAAAAACATAAACAAATACAAAAATACAAAAAATACATAAAATACATATTAATAAAAATAGGAAAAAGCATAAATAAATAAAAAATACATAAAATACATAAAATAAATAATAATAAAAATAGAAAAAAAAAACATACAAGAAATACATAATAATAAAAAAAACATAAATAAATAAAAATACAAAAAAATAAATAAAATACATAATAATAAAAATAGAAAAAACATAAATAAAAATACATAAATAAATAAATAAAATACATAATAATAAAAATAGAAAAAAACATAAATAAAAATACATAAATAAATAAATAAATAAAATACATAATAATAAAAATAAAAAAAACATAATTAAAAAAAATACATAAAAACAATAATAAAAATAAAAAAACAAACTAATTAAAAATACATAAAAATGGTAAAATACATAATAATAAAAATAGAAAAAAACGTAAATAAATATAAAATACATAAAATACATAATAATACATTTTTTAATCCGGGGTCGCCACGGCGGATTTGAACCGCCAACTTATCCAGCACATGTTTTTATGCAGCGGATGCCTTTCCAGCAACCCATCTCTGGGAAACATCCACACACAATCACACACTACGGACAATTTAGCCTACCCAATTCACATGTATCGCATGTCGGAGCACCCGGAGGAAACCCATGCGAACGCGGGAAGAACATGCAAACTCCACACAGAAACGGCTACTGACCCAGCCGAGGCTCGAACCAGCAACCTTCTTGCTGTGAAGCGACAGCACTACCTACCTCTGCCACTGCATCATCCCCCTATATAGGCATCGTTTGCAAAAAACACTTTATAATCCAAATTTATGTTTTTAACCCAAAAAACAATGTTGTCGTGCTAGCAAACAGGCAAACTGCATAACATTTCCTTGTTTTTGTCTGGAAATGTTATTTGAAGGGGATCTATTATGCAAAAATCACTTTTATAAGAGGTTTAAACACAGTTGCGTGGCAGCAGTGTGTGAATATAACCAGCTTTCAATGGTAAAAATTAATTAATTCTATTTTTATAATCAGACTTAAAAACACTTTGACATTTTCCCGTTGTAGGTGTAATCAGAGGGGGGAAACCCCGCCCATTATTAGTGATGATCTCTCCCTCATTAGCATAGGACGTTAGTCTTGTTTTTAAATCTGCCACTATGCTGACACACAGACATTTGTAGCTCCGCCCTCTTTCGAAAAGAGCACAATCTCATTTTAATTTAAAGCGACAGTCACCAAAACGGCACGATTAGGATCAAAGCCTAAAAGGGGCAGAGAGTTATAAAACTCTGTTTGTGTGGTATTTTGAGCTGAATCTTCACACACTCTTGGGACATCAGAGACTTATTTGACACCTTGTAAACAAAGAGGCATAGTAAGCCCCCTTTAACCAGCCCCTAATATTTCTCTGTCTGTGTTTTCTCAGGTTCACTGACGGTCTCCATTACAGACATGCGGGCTCCAGTGGTCGGTGGCTCCGGCGGGGTCTACGCTCTCTGCTCGGCACATCTCGCCAACGTAGTCATGGTAAACCAACCTAACCTAACTCCGGCTTCTGAATCAGACTGAGTGAACAGGGGAAATCAGGCAGAGCCACAGAGAATGAATCTCTCCAGAGGCTTTATATTGCGGCTTCCCTAAAGATCAAAGGGTCTCTAATCACCCGCACACAGACAGACACAAACAGGCCTCAGAGAGTCATAAAGTCTGTTAAGTGTCTGCCGCTGCTGATGGATGCGTCTACAGACACACAGACGCTCTTGTGGGAATATAAGGGCCTTTTAATCTGTGTGAGAGGAATTTAGGGAATGCTCTGGGTTTGGTACAGGTTGAGCTCTGTTGGCGATTCATTCTGCGGTGAAGACCCCTGAAAAATAAGGGACTAAGCTGAAGGAAAATGAATGAAGTTTCACCTGGAAATTTTGAAAGTTAACAGTTAAGATGTAAGTCGACCTGAATCATAACTCATCAGCAGCTATATAAATAACTATTTAGCAGACATCGTTTGGCTCTATTATTGCGTGTGATGCTCACTTTCACATGTGTTACGGTTTAATTAAGTTGTCTAGGGAAAATAAACATTACACTTATAATATTAAATTATTACTGAGTAGATGGATGGAAAATACACCAGGACACAAAATTTACATTCAATTCGTTTATTCCTCTTACGAGGAGAAGAAAAATGAAGCCAACAAAAGAGAGGCTTACATGTGTGCGCTTTGTACAATGTTTATATAATAAGAAGAAGAAGAAGAAAAAAAAGAAACACAATCAAAAGTTTTAGGGGAAAAAGGAACTAGAGTGGCGCCAAAGCAAAGAACTAAACAAAACTAAAATCCAACTAAACTAGAACACAAGATCCCCCTCTAAACTTACTAATAAAAATCAAAATGTGAAAAAGAAACCGAAATCTTCAGCGTTTGCGACGCCACACCTAAGCTCCCTAAAACAATAAGCAAAAATGCAGCGCTCACCCACTTACCTAGTGTTTCTGAACATTGAAGTGACCTACGGGCAAAATGTATGTCCCGCGACTTAGTGAACTATTCCCTTTTCCCCCAAACAGGAATGATAAACTCTTTAATCATGACTTAATTTACATCGATGTAATTATTCAGAAACACAGAACAAAGCATACATTATGAACAGCAGCGCGCGAACACAAACCAACACACACACACACACATAGCACTCTGAAAAACAAGGCGTGCCGGTCGAATTTAAAGTCCGTGGAACGAAGTCCAATTGGTCCACGAGGAAACGCCCTAATGAGGAGTGACAGAATCGGGATCCAATCAGCAGGTACCTAGTAGAGAAAAAGTAGCTGAACAAAAGGTGATAGGAGGAGACAAAGAGCGAATGACAGTCGAGGAGATGCGAAGGGAGACAAGCAAAACAGAGGAGAAGTCACAAAAATACAAAGTCCCACGGACCGTAACAACACGTCTCTAGAGAGAAATCAGTTGTTTACTAGAAGATAGAGTTGTGTTTTTAACGTCATAAAATGAGGTTTAAAATTAGATTTAAAAAATGTAAAAATGAAACATTATAAAGTATACAGTTGAAGCTAAATTATTAGCTGGCCTTCTTTGAAATTTGAATTCTATTTCAGATATGTCCTAAAGCAGGAGTCACCAACATGGTGAGTTGCCCATGGGCCTGTTATAAAATTTGCTTACCATAGCATCACATACCAGTAAGCTGCATCTAATATTTTTTTAAAGCAATTTTAGACAAATGAAGTGTTGCATATTGATATTTATATATTTGATGTTTCCAATCATTGACAACTATTGTGAGAAATCATTAACATGATCAGTGTCTTCACATAGATGAATATCATTAATTATTAATAACATATAATTAAAAGTAAATTGAGCAAATTTGTTATTAGAAAGTGTGTATCAAACTGGTAGCCCTTCACATTAAACCATACCCAAGAAGTAGCTCTCAGTTTCCAAAAGGTTGGTGACCCCTGTCATAAAGTATGTTTAACAGAGGAAAGACATTTGCACAGTATTTCCTACATCAGATATTTTTATTTCCTGAAATACTTTTATTTCTTTTAAATTAAATTGGCAGGAATAAAAGTAGTTTTTACATTTTTCTAAATAATTTTATTGTCAATTTTATTAGCCCCCTTAATATATATATTTTTTGATTTGCTTCAGAACAAACCACTGTTGTCTTGCCTAATTAACCAAACTTCCTTAGTTAAACTAATTAAGCCAGTTTAGCCTTAAATTGCACTTTGAACTGAATACTAGTGCCTTGCAAAATAATTCAATTCATGTTTATTTATATAGCGCTTTTACAATGTAGATTGTGTGAAAGCCGCTTAACATAGTTCTAGTGAAGTCCAGTTTTCAGAGTTCAGTTTGGTTCAGTTCAGTGTGGTTTAAATTTCATTGCTGAAAGTTCAAACACTGAAGAACTCCACAAGTCCCAATCCAAGTCAGTGGTGAGGGAAAAAAAAAAAACTTCAACTGACAAAGTGAAGGGAAAAAAAACCTAGAGGAAAAACCAGACTCTGTTGCGCACGACCATTTTTCCTCTGGCCAAACTTCCTGTGTGGAGCTGCAGTCTAGGCGCCGGAGGCTGGAGAACGCTGGATGCCTGTCGCAGAGAAGCTGCAGGTGTGAGTAGGTCACCGGCGGGTGATCAGGCTGGTCCACAGGATCCATAGATATATACACTAGATGTCGCCTGGCCTATTGTTGTCTATTGGACGGAATGCGTCAATAGCGCCGCCATCTTGCTACAGGGTAGCGCTCCTTTGAAATGAATGCAGGACCAAGGTACAGTGGAGGACTGTGGCCATCCAAAGCTATACACATAAGATATACACACATATCTATGATCAGGAGTTTTCCTAGATGTTAGTATGTAATTTTTTTTTCTAATTAGGAAAATTATAATTTTACATCACTTTTCTTCATTGATGGATCAGTGACCGCACGAGCATTCCTGACAAAAAGCTTGTGTTTGTGTGTACAGAAATGTACTATCCACCCTCCCTGTTAAATTTGATCTAATCATGTCCTGAAACACAGCTCCTCTCCTGCTTTCACTTCTCATACTGACGGAGGGAGCGATTCGTTTGTGAATTAATCCACCGAACGACTCTTTCACTAACGTTAGCCGACAATAATACAAGTTTCTGGCAGCGCAGCATCTCGTTGTCATATTTCTTTTGCATTGTTTGCTGATTTTATTCAACAAAACTAGCATAAGCCGAGTGTTTAGTGCGAGTTGGAGCTTCTTTGCCGTATGGTGAATGCAGTAAGTGACTGTTATCATCAATAATGTTACCTGATTAGCACAAAAGTTCAGAACATACAAAAACAGAAAAAAACATAATATTACCTATGAAGTGTTCTGCCTTTGTGCTTTGTTTTCTTTGTTTGCTCATTTCTACACCCGTTGACAGCGCTAAAGTCCCGCATCTTCACGTAATAACACTGTCTTGTCTAGTGCGGTTGAATGACATTTGTCCTGGGAGCACTGTACCAATGTGGCGGCGCTATTGACGCATGCTTAGAGTCCCTATGCGATATCTAGTGTATATATCTATGCACAGGATCAATGTGGAGACTCATCTGTCACTGTGGTCTTTCAGGATTCAGTCTCATGCACTCCACTCCTCCAAAATAACTAGTAACATGTTATGTACAGTTTTCATGGCAAAGACAAAATTAATTCATTTTCTCCTAAACAGTTCTCTGTTAAACAGTACTTGGAAAATATTTGTAAAAGATTACAATTTTACTGGAGAGCTAATAATTTTGCCTTCAACTGTGCATTATGAATTAATTGTTTATAGTAAAACCATTAACACAATTTTAACACACATTTTTCCATGTTTCAGAACTGGGCCGGAATGAAGTGTCCATACAAGTTGCTGCGGATGATTCTTGCACTTGTTTGCAGTAAGTAACTTCCGTCACACAGTTCATAATAGTGCCATAGCAGGCTCCTCCCTCTTCTGGAGAGGAGGGCCAGAAGCTGCAGCTCATTTGCATATGAACAGCATGTTTGAGCCTAAACATATGCTGTATGAAAGTTTTTGACTCTTCTAAAGCATAAAAATACCATAATATGTTTGCAAATGCTTACGAAGCATGCTTAGTGAACATACGTGTTTATTTAAGGAACAATGCTTAAGCCAGTTATTTTGCTTTGAATATGTGCGTTTAGTGTCAGTGTTTTGAGCTGCGTAGCTCCGCCCATTGCCAGTTTACCCAATTATATTTCGAATATATTGGAGGACAGAAGCAGCCTACGAAATGAGATGATTTTAGCAAATAATATTAATATTTTGGGGGGGGGGGCGGGACGGTGGTGCATGGAGCGATGTCACTTCACTGCAAGAAGGTTGCTGGTTCGAGCCTCGGCTGGGTCAGTTGGCAATTCTGTATGGAATTTGCATGTTGGCGCGGGTTTTCTCTGGGTATTCCGGTTTCCCCCACATTCCAAACACATTCGGTATAGAGGAATTGAATAAACTTAATTCGCTGTAGTGTATGTGTGTGAATGAGTGTGTATGGGTGTTTCCCAGTGCAGCTGGAAGGGCATCTGCTGCGTAAAACATGTAATGAAGTAAGTAAGTAAGTTATATGCTGGATAAGTTGGCGGTTCATTCAGCTGTGGTGACCTTTGATTAATAAAGAGACTAAGCTGAAAAGAAAATGAATTCATGAATGAATATAAATATTTCAATACATTAGATGAACAGCTTATAGAGTAAGGGGGGGTTCACACAGAATGTGTTTTTTCCTGTTCAATGCGCTACTGTTACATTGTTTTTCAATGTAAACATGTGCTTGACAAACATGTGACCATTGTGTGACCATTACATCTTTTTTGAAGTGCACAGGAGCACTGTGTTTTTCAGACGCAGTGAGAAGTTAAAAGAACTTTAAGGGGCCGATCACGCCGAATGCGCCTTTACATTCCAAAAACACAAAACGCACCACACTGCCTTTTTTGTTGACAAGAAAAAAAAGAAAGCTGCGCTTTTTATGTTGATAGACAACAACTGGATCAGCTGGATAATGTGTGAGAGTGTTGCAGTTGATATTAATATAATTTTATTATTTGATAATATCGTGATATTCAAGATTTGTGAAGTCATACAGCTCCGGATAACTCAAAGCAGCAACCACTAGTCTCTCCTCCATCTTCAAAAATCTCAGTTTTTGTCTTGACAACACAAACACTGCAGGCACCTCAACGGAAACCCCGCCTCTGCTTCATTTGATTGGAGAATGAAACAGACGTGATTAACATAACACTTTTTTTTTTTTGCTCATAGTTGACTTTTTCAACTGCGAGCGCACGGCACGCAAGGTCAAAAATGCGAGGCGCAGCAGGCGGTTTAAACGCTAGGCGTGCTGGGCGCATAAGCAGCATGCAAAATGCTTTCGGTCGTTAGTAAATCAATCAAAAAAGGCGCCTCTCACAGAAGAAAATGCGTTCTGTGTGATCGGCCCCTAACTTTTACACATAGCGCTGCTCATCACTGTCAGTTCTAAAGCAGTGGACCAATAGGAAGAACTCTGAGGGGGGTAATCTTTGCAAGATTGTTTTTACTATTAAGGCTGATTTATACTTGTGCGTCAAGCGCACGCGTATGCTATGGCATAGCCCTACGCCGTGGCCGTCTGCGTCAATGACATGCATCTCTCAAAAAATTTAACTATTCGTCGCAACGACGGGTAGTGCAAGCTCTGTGATTGGTCAGCTTGGTAGTGCTGACGAATCTGGGCAGGACCGAGAGCCGCATGAGCTGCACGAGCCCAGTAGAGCGATTGTTTACAAGTGTGGAGTCCTGTGAAGGAGCTCCTGATGGAAAGTTTTGTTTTGTGTTTACCTCATAGTTAAAGTTGTTGCACGTCCACCAGTTCCTGCCTCAAAATAAGCGAGTTTGAGCTGCTTGTACATTCAGGAAGCGTTCAGGAAAAGCAAAACAGCAGCCAAGAAACTCGACACAGAGGAACATTTACACCTCACTGCCAACTAGCGTTTCGCAAGTGTTAATGCAGACCAACAGAAACAGCGCGCAGAAGTATAAATGCACAGCTCCGCGCGTTGCATGCGCCATGGGTTACGCCGGTCACTTGACGCAGAAGTATGAACCAGGCTTTAGTCACAGTTGTGATCTGTTGGTGCCAATCTGGCAACCTATCTGTCGAGATTTCTGAGTAGGCACAAGCTAAAAAAAACCTTTTCCAATATTTTACTAGTTACATTATTTAACTAGCTCAGCCACTCAATCATACATACTGCACCCTCAAAGGGGTCCTATTATGCCACTTTTAACAAGAAGTAAAAAGTCTCTGATGTCCCAAGAGTGTCTATGTGAAGTTTCAATTCAAAACACCACACAAATAATGTTTTATAACTCTTTGAAACTGACCCTTTTAGGCTTTGATCGCAATTGTGGCGCTTTGGTGACTGTCGCTGTGACTGAATGAGATTGTGCTCTTTTCAAAAGAGGGCGGAGCTACAAACTCCTGTGTGTCAGCATAGTGGCAGATTCAAAAACAAGACTAACGTCATATGCTAATGAGGGAGAGATCATCACTAATAATGGGCGTGGCTTTCCCCCCTTTAATGACACATACAAAGGGGAAATGCCAATCAAAGTGTTTCTGCAGACTGTTTTTATCAAGTGTAATTATAAAAAATCTAATTAATGCATTTTTACCATTAGAAGTTGCTTATATTCACACACTGTTACCACACAACTGTGCTTAAACCTCTTATAAAAGGGATTTTTAAGTCATAATAGAGACATTCTAGAGACACAAGACTTAACCACTTAAACTCTGCAGACCTGGTACCGGGTCCGTGACGTCATCGACTTTCGCTTTTAGATTTAAAGGGCTAGCGTTGCACCAGACCCCCGTAAGTGGTGTCGTTTGAAAGTGTAGAATCTATATTTTATGCACATATGCATCACTTTGGTTTTTATTCTACTGTATAAAAGTTATTTACACTTAAATACACAGTATTTTAGATACCCAAGCTAGGTATTTTACATTGGTTCATTTTCATATTTATTTTTATATGACACATGTACAAGTTAAAGCTCAAATGAAAGCTCTTGCCGGTGCTCATACAGTTTTATCATTCTTTTTACTGAATTATATTCACATATCAAACAGTTGTTGAATGAATTGTGGTGTTTCCATGGCGCAGAAATGTAAACAATACATTCCTGATCAATAAGCAGCCCCAGATAGCACAGACAGCTGTCATCTCTTACCTTATGCTGTGCGCTTCAGGGCCATTTCTCCTCTGTTTTTGAGGTGATGTGCATAAGTAATCCTATTATATGTCTGATGTGGTCCAAACACAGTGAATTATGTTTGATCAAACAAAAGAATAGTGAAATATGTAAACATAGATCGGTCTCTGTGGCTTGTACAGCACCTCTCATCAGCTGGAATGCAATAACTTTTGTATAGATTATAGTGGAGACATTTTTCTTTTTTCCTATCATTACAGACATGTGCAGGAACCAACAAAATTAATTACAGCACGCTAGACCACACAGAACCTAAAAGATACACTTTCAAATTTGAGTTTATGAAAAAAAAATACAAAAAGTGCCTCGTTTTTTAGGTGTTTATTATAATACAGACGACATATACAGTTATTTTAAACACTTTCAATAGTGTTTTATGAAAATTCAAAGGGTTTTCTTTAAAATGATACCACATTTTTGCATTTACATTTTTGCATTTACACCTCTGCATGTGGATTTGGGAAGCTTTTAAATTTGGGTAGGCAAAATCCAGGCGGAAATCCCAAATAGCAGCAGAGTTTAAGTGGTTAAATGCTACATGTTGTAAAATAGGAATAAATATGTGTATTAATTTGTGTCAATCTGATGTCCACGCATACCAAAAATAGCATAAACATGATAGAACGCTGCTCCTCTGTCTGTCCTTTCCAGTGAGTTCAGAAGTGGGCCGTGCCGTTTGGCTGCGCTTCTCCCCACCCCTGCCCTCCTCCGGTCCGCAGCCCAGTTTCATGGCTCATCTGTCGGGCGCAGTGGTGGGCATCAGCATGGGGCTGCTGATCCTGCGCAGCTACGAGGAGTCTCTGCATAAACAGTGCTCCTGGTGGGTGCTCATCTTCTCCTTCGTCACCTTCCTCCTCTTCGCCATCTTCTGGAACATTTTCGCTTACGAGCTGCTCGGGGTACAGATCCCGCCCCCTCCCTGATGACACGCCCACGCGAGTGGAAAGCCACGCCCTCAAAATCAGACCTCAGTCTGCTCCGCTCGACCAGCAGCGGATGTAAAAAAACAGATGTACAAACAGGAAGAGGTGTGAAATGAAAAGAAACGCATACTCACATTCCATACTGAAGAACATAACCGGCGTGGTATTTTTAATGAACACTCGGAGGCAGCTCAAGGGTCCGGCGAGCTTATTTGAACAGACCGTCAGTAGATCTTACAACACAAACACACACACATACACACACACACGCATACATATCAGATTTGTGTGAATTAAGCCTGAGGCTCGTTCATGATGCCTTTCTGTATTGTTTTGATTTAACAGCCTCATCTAAGCCTGTTATGCGTTACAGATAGCATCCGTAGTAGATGAAACGCCATCACTTCAACCAGGAATCTCGCTGACTCGAAAACAAAGCCTTACGATTGAAGACACGGTCCTCTGTGAGGTATGAGGTTGTAGCTAATATCACTCAACGCTGTTTGTTGAGGGATCGGTGAACTTTTTTTTTTTTCAGTCTTAACAAGGTAAAACATGTTTCAAAGTGATGTTTCTTGCTTTAGTTAAGGATTAGCTTGGTTCCAAATCATAGTGTGCTGTCTATGTAGGCAGCATGGGGTAGACGTGCATTATGTTGCCTTCCAAAATAACTTATTTTTGTTAAATATGCCCCAAAATGTATCGAAACAAGCTACAATTATATTATTTAATCTTTAAAATATGTATAGAATTTGTACATTTATCGCAACAAGCTACAAAAATATATAATAATTATTAATAAAACGTGTATATAAGTTGTACATTTTAAAAAAATCTCGCAAAGGCTGCATTTATTTGATCAAAAACGCAGTAAGAACAAAATATTATTACAACTATTTTTTAACATTTTTAATTATTTCTTCTAATATGCTAATTATAGGTGCTCAAGACACATTTCTTATTGTTATCAACTTTTTTGACTAATTATTTGAAAGGAATGTTTCGCAACGTTTTACTGTCAAGTTGTCACTTTTGATCAATTTAATGCATCATTGCGGAATAAATGTAATAATAAAAATGCTATATGTAAAATACATGTTTTTAGCGACACCGGTGGCCAATTTTTGAATTGCAGCAAAAATCGACTTATTTTTACTAGTCTTAAACGAATCGTTTAGTTATTTTTAGCACTCTTTTGGAGGAATTACATTTGTGTATAGTCAAAAACTATAGAGTACGCAAGACGTGTCACTCGTATAGTTTTGAATGGGGAAAAGTGTAACGGTAAATATAGCAAATGAAGTCCCATTTTCTAGTACAGGAGCCAATTATCGATCGATATATGGTGAATAAAGGCCGCCTTCTGGTACAAGAGTCAATCACCAATCAATATATGGTTAATAAAGGCCGCCTTCTGGTACAAGAGTCAATCATCAATCGATATATGACGAATAAAGCCCGCCTTCTAGTACAAGAGCCAATCATCGATCGAGATGTGGTGAATAAAGCCCGCCTTCTAGTACAAGAGCCAATCATCGATCGATATATGGTGAATAAAGTCCGCCTTCTAGTACAGGAGCCAATCATCGATCGATATGTGGCGAACAAAGCCCGCCTTCTAGCACAGGAGCCAATCATCGATCGATATATGGTGAATAAAACCTGGCTTCTAGTACAGGAGCCAATCAGCAATCGACAATACTTTGAGGGAGGGGCCTCGAACCAGCTGTGAGTTTCTGCAAATTTTGAGCAACTCAAACGTTTAGAAATGAAACTCAAGACGCAGTTGATATTTAATTTTATTGGTGATTCCTAATATGAAGTTTAATCAATAAGCAACTTTGGTGAGTTTGATGTTTCCCCATTCGGACAGAATGCCCGAGCATACTGCCCAAGAGGTGTTTCAAAGATGGCCGCCGAGTGAAATGACTTGCCTTAAAGGGACTTTAGTTAGTGTTCTAAAACAGCTTCCATTCCATGCACTTTTAGCAGGCAGCTGCCTATGTAGGGAGCTCACTAGGTTTTGGAACAGAGTCAACATTTGAATACATAAACACGAGACAGTAAGTTTGGAGTTTACAAGCCAATACATCTGTGCCGCACAGTCATGATTTCTGCAGTTATTGCTGTGCCGTTTGCAGTTGTTATGGAAACTGCCATAACGTAATTAAAGATGATTTCGGCATGGAAACGAGTGTCACGACCACCTGTACAAAACTCCAGACACAGGGACGTTCTGTTTGCCTAACTGATACTGATGATCGTGATTGGATTTAGCATTTTCAGTAGACATCATAACACTTTGATAAAGAAAACGTACAAAATTCAGTAGTGCCAAGTTATCATTCGCTAAGCTGCTAAAAGAGGGAAATAATGAAATCGCTAAGGGAAAGATTTGTATAAGATTGCTGTGTTCTGACTTGATTTCTTTTCATTTTCGAAAAGCTCGACCATGTGTCCATTTAATGTTGTGGATTTTTATGCCATAGTCCTATATTTATATCTATTCAGAGTGGCAATTGTTGTTGGATTATTGTAAAGTGTGTAAAGATCGTCTCGAACTGAGGGTGTGATGATGATGAGGAGGTTTTACTCTGAAACAGAAAGTGCTGGAAGATGAGAGGGAAAGAAGTTTAATCATACAAAATGTTTAATTAATGGACTCTGCTGTGCCCAAAGGTCACAGTTATGTAATAACATATTAAAGAGACCGTTTTGCCAAATAAATGAACATTTGCTGTTTGATGTACTCAACCTGAGGACATCCAAAATGTAGTTTTTTTTTTTTAGTTTTCCTTTAGTTGTCATGGTCATTTAGGATACCTCAAATGCTGGTCAATGGCTATCAGCATTTTGATCACATACAGGTAAAACTAAATACCTGTGGCTCCTGATGATACTTTGAGATCTTATAAATCAGTCTGAGCAAGAAATTTTGCAGTATTACAAGTTAAAAGTCATTGATATTAATTGTGTTTTATCTGTAGGATTTTTTTGTACTCTCAAAGTGTTGGAAATCCTAAAACAAACATTTACTTGTTTGTAAACATGCTCATTTTATAGCACCCCTAGAGTTAAACAGTTGAGTTTTATCATTCTGATTTCATTCAGCTGATCTTAGTTTTGGCGAGAGCACTTTTAGCTTAGCTTAGCATAAATCATTGAATTGGATTAGACCATTAGCATCTCACTCGAAATGATTTTAAAATGAAGCGTCAAGCTTTAAATAGAAAAAGAATAGATTTTTTTTATTTGAAGGGAGATGCTAATGGTCTAATTCGTTTCAATGATTTATGCTATGCTATGCTAAGCTAAAATGCTCCCACCAGGCTCAAAGATTGGCTAAATGGATTCAGAAATGGTAAAACTCTAGTGATCTGGCGAGAGCACTTTTAGCTTAGCTTAGCACAAATCATTGAATCGGATTACACCATTAGCATCTCACTCGAAATAATTCAAAAATGAAGAAGCTTCAAGCTTTAAATAAGAACATTTTTTTTATGTTTAGAGTGAGATGCTAATGGTCTAATCCGATTCAATGATTTATGCTAAGCTAAGCTAAAATGCTCTTGCCAGACCCGGAGATCAGCTGAATGGATTCAGAAATGGTAAAACACTAGTGTATACCTGTAGTGGATTTATAAAATAGTGTTTTTTGAAATGCAATTCAATGGCTGTTAGCTTTGATAGTCAAAAAAACACATACAGGTGAAACTGAATTAATACCTGTGGCTCCTGATGATACATTGAGGTCTTATGAAGAAAATCTATCAATCTGCGAATGAAACTGAATGGGTATTAATTTTGTTTCAGCTGTATATGTTTTTTTTTTTACTCTCAAAGTGCCAGTAATCCTTAAACAAACACTCCATTATTTTGGAAATATGCTTGTTTTACTATTTCTGAACCCATTCAGCTGATCTTAAGGTTTGGCAGGAGCACTTTTAGCTTAGCTTAGCATAAATTATTGAATCTGATTAGACCATTAGCATCTCACTCAATATTATTCAAAAAAGTAGAAGCGTCAAGCTTTAAATAGGAAAATCATCAAAAAAAATTTAATTTTTGGAGTCAAATGCTAATGGTCTAATACGATTCAATGATTTATGCGAAGCTAAGCTAAAATGCTCCCGCCAGACCTGGAAATCAGTTGAATGGATTCAGAAATGGTTTAACTGTAGTGCTTAACTCTAGGGGAGGTAAAAACGAACCTATTTCAATAAAAAGTGGAGTGTTCCTTCAAATGCAAGCCAATGGCTGTTAGCTTTTATAGTAAGAAAACACATACAGATAAAACTAAATTAATACTTGTGGCTCTTGGTGATACATTTAGGTCTTATGATGAGACACTATCAGTCTGTGCAAGAAATTGAACATCATTTGCTTCAACTTAGCTTAGAAGTCATGGTATTTATTTACCTGTATATGTGTCACAGTGCTGGTATTCCTTAAACGAACACTCCTTTTTTTTTTTTTTGGAAAATACTCATTTCTGAATCCATTCAGCTGATCTTCAGGTCTGGCAGGAGCACTTTTATTTTAGCTTAGAATAAATCATTTATTCGGATCAGACCGTTAGCATCCCACTCAAAATCATTTAAAAAATAAGAAGCGTCAAGCTTTAAATTAGAATTTTTGGAGGGAGATGCTAATGGTCTAATCCGATTCAATGATTTGTGCTAAGCTAAGCGAAAATACCCCTGCCAGACCCGGAGATCAGCTGAATGGATTTAAAAATAGTAAAACTTTAGTGTTTAACTCTAGGGGTGTTATAAGAAAACCCTATTACCATAAAAAAAATAATAATCAGTCTGCTCAGGAAACTGAACATGATTTGCTTCAACTCAGTTTGGAAGTCATAAATATTCATTTAATTGTATCTGTATATGTTTTAACACCCAAAGTACAGGTAATCCCTAAACATACACTTTTTACAGCGTCCTTAGAGTTTAACAGTCGAGTTTTATCATTTTTCTTAATCTGTTCAGCCGATCTTAGGTCTGGCGGGAGCACTTTTAGTTTAGCTTAGCATAGACCATTGAATTGTATTAGACCATTAGCATCTCACTCGAAATAATTCTAAAAAGAAGTGTCAAGCTTTAAACAGGAAAATTATCGATTAAAAAAATTAGAGGGCGGGGGGTGGTCTAATCCAATTCAATGATTTATGCTAAGCTAAGCTAAAATGCTCCTGCCAGACCTGGAGATTGGCTGAATGGATTAGTGTTTATCTGTAGGGGAACTATAAAATAAGACTATTTCCAAAAAAAAAAAAAGTGGAGAAAAGTGTTCCTTTAAGTGTAATTTAAATAGCACATTGTTTTAAACTAAAAATATGAGGGTTTTACCGAAGGAAAAAGCCAAATCTTGCATGTCCTATGTGAGTAAATTAACAGCAGATTTCATTTTAACAACGCTTTTAAGAAGAAGGAAGTTATTTGAATATTCAAATCAGGATGAAGCGGCACTCACAACCTATTTTACTGGACAGGAAGGGATTTTTGAGGAGAATATGTACTAGAAATGAATATTTCAGTAATAACAGGTTTAAATGTTCTTTTCCAGCAAACATGTGTGCAGTTCCTCTAATATTCACCTGGCTGGCACATTTAGACAGGTGAAAAACCAGAAGCTTATGAATATGTAATAGGCATGCATATAAACAGTGTGAAAGCGACAGAGATATGTTATTTAAAATAAAACATTTGGATATGTGATAGAAGAAAATAAGGAGAGAAAGACGAGACAAATAGCTGATAAAATGAAGAAAAATGGAGAGAGAGAAAGAGAGAGAGAGAGCAGAGAATGATGGATGTATTATTTCTGAACACTCATCAAATGGATGCTGGAGGAGTGTGTGTGTGTGTGTGTGTGTGTGTGTGCGTGTGTGTTAAAGATGCTTTAATGTGCTGTATGATCTGTTGGTTTTCAGACTGTTACAGCAGACATACTGTAGTCTGTGTGAGTCTTCATGCGTTATGTGAATGTTGGAAACGGTGTAAAACTAGCGGGTTGTGTTCAGAGCGGTATACTAGCATACAGACCATAATGTGCAGTTTATAATACCTACTATTTTAAAAAGTAGATTATGAAGCAGTGTGTATTTTGCATTTATAATCTTTTCAAATAAGCAGGATTCTCAATGTTTATCATTACAAATATTTTTTTTATCTGATTTAATCTAATGAAGTGGTAAAATCAAATGCAAAATGTTTTATTTTAATATCATGTTTATAATTATACACTCGTCGGCCGCTTTATTAGGTAAACCTGTCCAACTGCTTGTTAATGCAAATTTCTAAACAGCCAATCACGTGGTTGAACTCATGCATTTAGGCATGTAGACATGCCTTGTTGATGCCATAGGTTAGAGGAGAATGGCCAGACTGGTTCCAGCTGATAGAAAGGCAACAGTAACTTAAATAACCACTTTTTACAACCGAGGTCTGCAGAAGAGCATCTCTGAACGCACAACACGTCCAACCTTGAGGCAGATGGGCTACAGCAGCAGAAGACCACACCGGGTGCCACTCCTGTCAGCTAAGAACAGGAAACTGAGGCTACAATTCACACAGGCTCACCAAAACTGGACAATAGAAGATTGGAGAAACGTTGCCTGCTCTGAGGATTCTTGATTTCTGCTCCCAAATTCGAATGGTCGAGTCAGAATTTGTCGTCAACAGCATAAAAGCATGGATCCTTCCTGCCTTGTATCAACAGTTCAGGCTGCTGGTGGTGGTGTAATGGTGTGGGGGATATGTTCTTGGTGCACTTTGGGCCCATTAGTACCAATTGAGCATCGCTTCTACGCCACAGCCTACCTGAGTATTGTTGCTGACCATGTCCATCTTCTGATGGCTACTTCCAGCAGGATAACGCATCATGTCATAAAGCGTGAATCATCTCAGACTGGTTTCTTGAACATGACAATGAGTTCACTGTACTCAAATAGCCTTCACAGTCACCAGAGCTCAATCCAATAGAGCACCTTTGGGATGTGGTGGAACGGGAGATTCACATCATGGATGTGCAGCCGACAAATATGCAGCAACTGTGTGATGCTATCATGACAATATGGAGCAAAATTTCTGAGGAATATTTCCAGTATCTTGTTAAATCTCTGCCACGAAGGATTTAGGCAGTTCTGAAGTCGTACCTAATAAGCTGTAAGGTGTACCTAATAAAGTGGCCGGTGAGCGTATATTAAATTATATAACTTTTTATATTGTTTCCACGATTTTTTTTTAAAGAATATTTATTACATGTAATTGATTTGTTTTGGTTTTCTCTAAATAATATAATATTTAAATATCTTTTTTTAAAATTAAACCTACGTTTGTTTTAAGTATATTCTAATATAGCTTTATTACTTTTCTGCTTTAGCGATTTTAATATTTTAAATTCAACACATTTCCGTTAATTACCAAGTCAGTTTTAATTATAGTTTTTTTGCATGTTCTTAATTTAATATAATATAATTAATAATTTTAAGCAATAATTTAATTTAAACAAAATGTTAATATTTATTTTTTTTATTAAAATGTTATAATTTCTATGGCCCTGGGCTGCAAATTAGCATGTTAAATTCACATGCAAATACTGTCCATATCTCTTTTTAACTCAGTATTATTTTAATTTCCAATTCTGAGTGGATCACGCCATAATTTGAGATATTATGAGTCTGCATATTGCAAAATAATACGGTTACTATGGTAGTTTGCCACCCTGAACATAGTGTCGGTGAAGAACTGTACTCAACCAATATGTCTAAAACTGGGAACAAACTTAAATACCAAGTACCTCCCCCTTAGCCCCGCCCACATTCCATGCCAGCCAATAGCTGCTCTCGTATCTCCTGCTGAACATTTCTTTCCTCCATGATGTTGTAGGTGTAGGTTCGCGAGAGTGTTGCTTTGAGATCTCCGCTGCGTTCAGTGAGATCGTCTGTGTTGCCGCCATTGCTGTAGTCCTACTCGAAAAATTGTAGTCCATTAACAGATTTCAAAATGGTGCCAAATTACGAGAGATGACAAGACTCGTTGCAGTAAAATATTCTGTTTACACTAAAGATAAAACTGAAAATATAAGGCTAATAGTTTTCTCTGGATGAGATGATTTTAAGAAAAGAGATGTAAATACCGATAGTTTCTATCAAATTCTTTATCATGTCATGATGTATTGTACTTCTGAAATAATGGGACCTGAGGCAATTCTGTTTTTGTAGTTTTATTTTGTATGGTTTTGTGTTTGCGTTCATTTCTCAGCTGTATGAAATAAAGGACATACTGTGAGGAGACGTCTGCGTGCGCTTCTGTGTTGACAATGAGAGCGTTTCTACTGATGGGATACAACATGTGATTTTTATTTTCTTTTATTTTACAAATTTTAATGTCTGGATATTTTGTGATTAAGTGCTGCTTGATTCTGTCTTTCTGGTCATTCAGTCTTCTTTCTTTTTGACGGCTTTTCATCAGCTGTCTTCCTCTTCTCTGGCTTCTGATTGGTTGCATCCTTCAGGCTGACTCCCTGCAATAATGAGGGCTGAATCTGATTGGCCACTGTCCATGTCCACAAACACTGCTCCACCCGGTGAGGAGTCCAGTCCTGCTGAGCGTCCACTGAGACACAAAACACATGTTAGTAAGATCTCGATGAATATGTATTTACAGTGCCCATATTGTTTTATTGCTAACACTTTACAATAACAGTACATGAATAATGATGTATTAATATGTAAACTAAACATGACTTTATTATGAATTAATGATGAGTTAAGGTATGCACTAATCATGAATAAGCTTTAAATACACCATGAGTTCATGTGTAAATAACGACTACCTTAATTACTTGTTAGTACTTGTTGTTAATTAATGTATTAATTAACATTTAAGTTTAAGCTAAATGTAACCAACATGAACTCATGAGCTGTTAATGTATAGTTATGTCATGACTTTACTTGGAGGGGCACATCACTATTAACTCATCCTTAACTACTCATGAGCTCCTGTTCATGTTGATGTTGACAGAACACTTTTCTGTTGTTATTCAGTGTAAACTCACTAGTTGGACGTGCATAAGGAGTTCATGAGTAGTTAAGAATGGCTTAATGATGATGTGCCCCTCCAAGTAAAGTCATGACATAATTATACATTAAAATATCATGAGTTCATCGTGGTTAAATTAAGCATAAACTAATGTGGTAATTAATACATTAATTAACAAGTTATCATGTAATTACAAGTAATTAAGGTAGCTGTTAATCACACATGAGCTCATTTGAATCATGTTGTAGTAAAGTTAATTCATGATTAGTGCATACCTTAACTCATCATTAATTCATAATAAACTAATGTTTAGTTTACATATTATTACATCATTATTCATGTACTGTTATTGTAAAGTGTTCCTGTTTTATTTGAAATATTACTGATTTTGTTTGAAACAGGTTTACATCTTTCCAAGGTACAACGAAATCCTCATAATACCAATTTCACCATCAAACTGTGCTTGAAATGAAGGGATCTGGGGCCTCATGTATCAATGCTGCATACGCACAAAAACTTTGCTTACGCCAGGTTTTACGCTCAGAATCGCTCACGTTTGGATTTACTAACGATGAAATGAACGTGGGAATGTGCGCTCATCCACGCCAACTTCATGCCTGGCGTACGCACATTTCTTGTGTGTGTCTGTTTTATTTCCATTGGCGACTCCTAGAGGCAGTTGTGTTAAATTGCACTCTACAAAGTGTCTTTGAGCCGTGCAGTGGCAGCTGTATGAGACGGGTTTATCCGCATGTCTAGCAGGTAGAAAAGGTTTCCATACCATACAGTTGACCAGCCAAACATTAAAGCGCAATTTGCATCGGTCGCCGTTTTTCCCAGTGTATTCGGAGCGATCTACTGCACGCACATTGCTATAAAGTCACCATCTGAAGATGAATTTGCATACGTGAATCAGAAACATTTCAATTCAATAAATGTGCAAATAAAATATGATGCACAAACTTATTAACGATTCCTACTTGTCTTCCTCATGATAAATAGTAGGCAAAATCTGATATGTAGCGGGGGAAAAAAAGGAGTTCATCAGACGCTGTATTCGAACCGAGTTCATGCTCAAATGTGTTAAAACGTGTTGCAATGCGTTTTACGAGCTACGCCACTCAGGCTGTTAATGACTCGACAACAGTTTACACCTATAGATCTCACTATTTCTTTTTTAATCCATTCGGTGCGATGTTCAGACCCAACTGTGTTAACCGTGTCAGCTAAACTCTCCCACTCAATTTTTTGCTTTTGTTATTAATTCCGGAGGCAAACTTGCAAATAACACCATTTTCTTCAGGTCTACCTCCGAAAGCAGCACCTCCAATTCACATTCTGTTCAAAGTTTCTCTTCTTGCTTGTTTTTGACATTATTTTTCCGTTTGGTTTTGCCAAAGTAGCGTCATTAGCATATTCAATACGGGGGAGGAGGCAGGGAGGGGTTTTGCGCTCGTTCATGTTGAGCTCAGTTTCACGTTCATTCGGATGCACAAATAATATGCGTGGGATTATGCGTACGCACGGTTTCATACATCTAAATTTTTTTCTGCACATTTACAGCTTTGTGCGTACGCAATGTTTTAGTATGATTTCCACGCAAGTCTTCGTACATGAGGCGTCTGGTCTCTCTGAACTTTGCCTTTCTGAGATCACTCTGATTGGTCAGATGACTGTACTCTGCTCTGATTGGTTAGATGACTATACTATCTGTGTTTTACGGTCATGCTTTAAAAAAAATGTCTATAATCCCTAATAATAACTCCTGTATAGTAGTCCCACAACATCTGTCGCTCGATGACACCCAAATCCCCTTTAAAAAATTCTAGTGGGTCGGCGCCAATAGCCTAGTGGTACTGTGCGCTGACATATAGCACCCGCGACCTGAGTTCGATTACCGGCTCGAGGTCCTTTGCCGATCCTTCCCCTCTCTCTGCTCCCAATGCTTTCCTGTCTAAAATCTCTACTGTCTTATCATAATAAAGGTGAAAATCTAAAATAAAATAAATTGTAGTGGCCGGGAATGACCTTTTTTACAGTGTCTGGTAGGCTATAACGTTAATTTTGTTTACTTGTGTTTATTTAAATGAATGGCCATGGTGTAAATACACAGTATAGTAGCAAGCTTATTGTCCCATTATATTGTTATGACAACGTGATATCCTGAAGAATAATACCCTAAAAAATGCAACTGGAGTAACTACAACAGTCACCATCATTAATCGTATATGAAGTAAGAGCTGGTGACGACATATGATGATGTGTGGGGGTGTCGCAGTGTGTCCCATTTCTTAGGGCTAAATTCTGAACCCCTTCACATTATAATTCTATGGGGAAGCAGTGGGGGTAAATTTTTTTTTATTGGGATTGGGCCTAAGTGTCTTACCTTTATTAAGCTCTGATGTTTTCCACAGCATTTTCTGGAGGTAAAGTGCATAGTGTTTGTCCGTGTACTCGACTGGTCTGAGCTCTGCGATGCTTTCCACGGCTTCATCCGCCATGAAGGCCACTTTATCAGGAGCTCCGGCCACAAGCACAGCTGATAGAAAGAAATCTGATCTGCTTCACATGTTTATTATTACACAGCTCTATCAAATACTCGATTCTGATTGGTCAATCACAACATTCCAAGGTATGTTACACTAGGCATGAAGTACATCCAGGAGGTTGTTATCACAGAATAAAGCCTGACAGGTTTATCAGCAGCCCGAAGTGAAGTGGAGCACTGCTGTATAAGACGGAAGAGCTTTATTCTGTGAAAACAATCATCCTGGAGGTACTTTTGTCCCACTTTTTGCACTAAGTACTTGCCACTAAGCATAAAAATTAAACACAAAACATTGTGCTGAGCCTTAATAGTTTATTCGTCCTTTAATTAAACAAAAAGCTGATGGAGTATACACTAACCTGTGCATTATTCAGATACAAGATGACGCCAAACAGTCAAAAACACAAAACTGACACAAACCAAAACAGCTGATGGAGTATACACTAACCTGCGCATTATTCAGACACAAGATGGAGACAAACAGTCAAAAACACAAAGCTGATAGAAACTAAAACAGCTGATGGAGTATACACTAACCTGCACATAGGGCTGGGCGATTTTTCCGATTTTTTTCGATTAATTCGAATTTACGTTTTGATGACGATTTAATTTTATATTAAATCGAGAACCGCGATTTTTAAAAAAATATATACCATTTAAAAAATATATACCAGTTTCCATGTTCAGTCCTTTTCTTCCACTGTATCTTTTTAAGAAAAAGGCAGCAGCTTTACAACCTGTCATTCAATCAGAAGAATACAAAGTCAAAACCGAGCTGACAGCCAATCTTTCCTAGGCTCAGCAAAACTTGCAAAAAAATACCTCTGTATTCCTGCAACTGCAATATTTACACAAATATTTCTTATTCAAATTGTCTGCAACGATATTTAACTTGTGAATTTGTTTTACATTTATTTACACTGTGACTGATTTTTGTATGGCATGGCCATTAAAATACAATGTTCTTTAACCAGATTTTTTTTTTTAAGTTACTTA